TTGTTGTTGTTTTTTAGTTTGTTTTTGTAATAAAACTTTAAAAGACAACTTTGGTCTCTTCATTCAGATGAATATTCATTTGTTCTGCTCTAGAACTCCCTGTAATTAACACATTCCACTTCAGTGACTGATTCTGATCATTAACGGGTTGTCGGTCAGTAAACTGACCAGCTGGTGCCCCTCGTTAATGAATGAAAAATAAATAAAACAAATGTAGTATATATTCATAATATATCTCTGGAGCCGCCACTGGATAGTAACCTGGAAGCAGACGGCGTTCTGTGTACGCTGCCAACGATATTGTGAGAGCAAGATGGAAACTTGGTTTTCTGATCCAGGTGTTTGCACGGACTCCGGGTACCAACGCACTCAATATTCTGTTGCTGCAAATCAATGAGCAGCAAACTGACAAACCTTTTAGCGGTGACAGCCGTATGAACACGATCCCGGGGTTTTGCTTGGTGTCCTGCTGCAAATTAAACCTCTGAACTCTTCACCTCGCGTTCAACACGGGTCCCTCCATTTATCAAACGTTCATAGCTGCGAAGCCATTTGCATGAGCACAAGGCCGACAATCAATTCTGTGCTGCAAGGGAAGTTTAGCAACTGGTGGGACGTCAATAACTTTACGATTCACGGTAGATTTCTCATGCACGAGGCCACCTGCAGACACCGGTGGAGCGGCTGATGATGTATTCCTCAGGGCTTACTTTTATTGAGATGTCCACAGCCATAAATAGGTCTTGGTGTTTCTTACGACTGCTTCTTCATTTATACTGCATACTTTATTCTTACCTTGAATGTGTAGCCTTTTAGTTTTTCATATTCAATGTTTTTAGATTTAAAACATTAGCAGCACTGGACACAAACCAGTAGAACACAAAAGCAGTTTATTGTGTGAGTCCATGAGGCTTTCACTGCTTCATAAAGAGCGGCACATCAGAGTCGGGTCAAACGTGCTGCCGATTAAAACGAGATGTTCCAGATGATGCTCGTCACAAATATGAGTGGTGCTCTGACAGGGCCGAGAAAAACATGGAGTTAAATAATGCTATCAGTTGTAAAAGAAATGGTGACATCAAAGCAGCTGATGAACAAGAAGTTTGACACGTTCTGTGCAGGAGTTCAACTAACATGAGTTCACAACATTCAAGTTGCATAAGTTCATCAGAACCGTTGGTGCTGAGCTCAAAATTTGAAGCTGTGTTTGTGTAACGTTATGTTTTGACCAGAGGATGAATAATATGTTGTAATGTAATATATGTAATAGTAGCTTAAAAATCTGAAAGTAGCAGAAAAAATCCAAAAGGAGTGTAAATAGATGAAATTATCATTAAGAAGTTAATTAGTCTGAAAGTAGCAGAAATTACCACAAAACTTGAATTTATCTGAAAACAACTGAAATTAGCTAAAATGCTAAAAGGGTAGCTGAACAGGTAGAACAAGACAAAATTAGCAGAAAGAACCCATTTGCCCAATTAGGCTTAAAGAAGCAAAATGAGCACAAAAAGTGGGAATTATCTGAAAAAAAGTTTAAATTAGTTAAAAAAAACCAGCTAAATAGTAGCTGAAATAATGGAAAAGGCTGAAATTTGCAGAAAAAAGTACAAATGTTTTAATTAGAAAGGATCACAAAACAGCTGAAATTAGCTGGAAAAGTTTTAAATTTGCAGAAGGAAGATGAAGCAGAACAAAATGTGAAAGGAGCAAATAAAGGTTGTAAACGCACCCAAAACATCTGAAGGATGTAAAATGAGCTCAATTTATTTTCTGAGAAGAAAAAAAGTCACAGAAAAGGCTAAATATTTCAAAAAGCTAAAGTTGCACTGATACCAAAAGTCATAGCAGAATTGTCCTGAAAGAACTGAACGTTTTGATTTATGATTTGTTGAAATGGGTTTAAACCAGTGGAACGAGAACGATGCTGAAAAACGTTCAGAAGAAAACTGGATCACAACAGAGTGAACGCTCAGGCCCCCTCTTTTAAACGAGTCCTCGTGACTCAATCAGACTAACCTGTACAAATAAAGGTGGAATGCTTCATAAACTCCTTCTAGTCCTCCTTCTAGAATTGTGCCGCTCCAGGTGGCTGCATGTTGGAGCAGCTCTTTTACTTTCATTCTGAAATTTTGCTTTTGGAAACTTTAATTCCTCTTTTTCTGGATGTAAATCACATTTTTTGGATGATTGTTTCCTCTGGTATCAGATGCTGTGCAGCTGGAAGGATTTTTACTGAAACTTTTTTTTTAGTTTCGGACATTTGTTATGATGCGTAACCATGGCAACAAGGCAGTTTCTACAACAGCAGCAGCTGATTAACATCTCAAAAGTTCAAATAATATCTCAACTATGACCCCAACTCTCAAATGAGTTGAAAAGGATGTTATGTGGACGCATTCTCATCTACCTGCCAGCTGTGCTCGAGTGCCTGACCACTGAGATCCTGGAACTAGCAGGAAACACGGCTCATGACAGCGGAAGGACAGGATCGCACCTACAGTTGGCTGTCCGCAGCGACGAGGAGCTCAACAAGCTGC